AAATAAATTGTGATAAAAACGTCGTAAACCGAGATACGTCGTTTGGTAGTTTCACCGTAGAAATAGTGATGAATGGGTGAATGTGAATAATCAACTCGGGGTAATTTCTAAAACAACAAAATGTATCCGGCACAACAAATAAATTGTTCATTAACATATTAAACCTAATTGAACATTTCATGTAAAATACTTAATTGATGATCGCTCAAAAATTTAAATGACGGACATTAAAAATTTACCGTTCGCCCGTGGATTCGGTCCCTAAACAATTTGCCCCCGAGTCGGGAACCCGCCCAACTGAGCCACAGCCCTCCACATTACTTTCGCGACACCACATAAATATAAACTCGGTTCAGTCCGAGTGAAGCCCCCGCATTATTGTTTCGGGGTGCGAACCGAGTAGAGAATGGCGCTCAGTGATTTAACGCGACCTTGGACAACAATAGATCTTTCATATTTTAGCTTTTTCATTAAATAAAACAATCGCAATATTCTGTAACAAACGACTAATTTTGGATTCTATGGGCCTATATAGTGGTTTCTCAACAGCAATTTATTAACATTTATTATGCGTATAATTGTTCAATTCAATATTGTAATTTGAAGTGCGATAATGAGGCTCACCAAAGTATAGGTAGAATATTCTTACCAACTTAAATATTTTGCTATTGCCTCATCGTTGCGTACCTCACACCATTGAATCAGTGAGTTCGAAAACACACCAACTCGGTAACTCGAAACTGCTCAATTTTCATGAGAGACGGTCAATTTTTATAAAAGTCATTGAAGTTAGCGCATCTGTTCCAACTTAAATCGTTAAAATGCCCTTAAGTGCTTGTACTTCGGCACCAAAAATCTCTTCCTTGGACTAATTTCTTCATTCACTGATCGGTTTCTTGTGTGTCTTGATTCTTTTCATTTTTCCGAGTTGCTGAGTTTTCGTTCTCACTGATTCAATTTAAAAGGTGAGTGCATTATTTTAAGCATTAATAAGAAATTGAATAACGCGCAGCCTGTTTACTTTTAGTCTTTAAAATAAAACAACCACGGTCAAGCGAAAATAATGCATCGGTTTAAAAGATTGTTTTATATAGTTATGTAGATTGAGAAGTTTTTATGCTATGAATAAACTCCTCCAATGAAGTTTCATTTGTTGTGATGTTACTTCGAACTTCCGCAAATCTTAAAATATGAATGCTTGTTGCGGCCGAGCGGATCGATACCACTTACTTTACTTTCAATCCCTACCAAGTTGAGAGAGCTTAGCCAGCGGCAAAGCTCTAGACTAAGTCTTAATTCTAGAATTCTAGAAAAATACAATGCGGATTATGATGCTAGTCTTAAACACTATATTCCACGGAGGGCGACGAATCGGCACGGGGGGACTAGAAGTGCGGTGAGACGATTGATACGAGGGGGGGGAGGGGGTTGATAGGAGGGCTGGGGGATGATGGCTCGACGCCAAATAGGCGAGAACATTAATTTGGGAACTCAATCGAATCAAGTTATCAAACCGAGACTGCTTTGATGGCATCGTTGTCGAGTTGAGAACTCTCCAAAGAGGGCTGTATAAAAATAAAGGGAGTATGTACCATGATATCAATACAAAACAGTTGCCGGGAGAAAACTTGTATGCGCACGGCCCATTTCAGTACGAACGAACGAATGCAGCTCGATCCTTCCTTTTCCTCAAGTTTACGATTTTTTGCGTATTTATATTGGAAGTCTAGAATTTAAAGAATGCAAGAGTATTTGATCATTTCCGGTCTCTCTTTAGGTCTTATACTGCCGTGCTGAGGAAGAACACCGTATGAATCTTCTTGCGTTGCCAAATTTCTCTTGGTAAAATACGAATTTTTAGGCAAACTTGTAAAAATTTTCCGTCCAATTTTTCAGGAAATTTCCTTCGCAATGTGATCTAAAGCATCAGAGAGTTTCAGGTAGAAATTGTCATTATTTGCCTCAATCATTAATGTTTTTAGAGGAGAAGTTTGGCAACTTTCGGATGTTCATACGGTGTTCTTCCTTAGCACGGCAGTTTACTGATCAAATCATGCGTCTGAGGGCAGATTTTGCCAAAAACTGCGCCTTCTCGGGCATTCAACCTCATACTCCCATTTTTCGCCAAAATCTGCCAGTTTTGGACCCACACTGAAAAAAAAATTCTCGGCGTTTTTACCAAGGTCCGTTGGTACCTTTACCATCTCACTTTTATTATCAATTAATGGTAATTTTACCAAGACAGACTGGTAAGCTTACCTAAAAACTGGTATTTTTACTGTTTTTTTCAGGTAAGAATACCACTTTGATTGGTAATCAATTCCCGGTAACTTTGCCATTTTATCTCGGTAATTCTACCACAGTCGATAAAAAATATTGGCGTTTCTACCAAGGTCCAGTAAAATTACAGAGAAAGTTCAATAATTTCACCGAGATTTCTCGGTAAAATTACCAATACCATAAATGGTAATTTTATCAAGAAAAAACTGGGATCAAATAAACTACATTTTGCAATTTGAAACTATAAATTCTAGCCCGGTTTAAAAACAACGTATGCGCCATTAGTTTCCGTATGCACATAAGTGTTTTTCCAGAAGAGCCAGAATTTATAGTTCCGAATTGCAGAACTCAGTCCAAATAGAACCCTGAATTCTTGGTAATTGTACCCTTTTCTTAGTAAATACACCGAGATTTTTTTTTCAGTGCAAAAACAGATAAAAAATGACCAAATCACGATGCATTCCGAAAATTATAGACCTTCAGTGAGCAAAAAATCGTCCAGGGGTAAAATCCAGGATGGGCTCAAAAACGACCCCTATCGATACCCCTTCTTTGGATATTTTTCCTGTCATTTCTGCACGTTGAAAGTTGAAATAAATCGTAATGGAAAACTTGTTGCAAGGTCGCGCGGCTGAAAATTAGCATACCGTTGATTCCCTCCTCCGCATGCTTCACCGCACAGTACGCCTCCTATCACGGCCCTGCGGCAACTTCCTACCCCTCCCCACGCCGCCCTCCGATCCCGTTGTGATGCGCATCCCCCTAAACAGCTTTGCTCCTCATCCCTTCCGTGCAGACACAACTAACTGCGCTCAGCTCAGCCGTGCGGCGCATAGAGGAACATGCCAATAGAAAAAGTCGAAAAAAATCTGGACACTTTGAAAATTTATATCATCGAAACTATAAGGCAGTAAAGTTTAAGAGTGGTTTCATTGGTTTTCTCGTGAAATTTTCCTTTAAAAAACACCCCCATGAAATTGAATTTGTGACAAAATAAACATCCCAATGGGCCACTAGACTAGTTACGAATTTCAGCAATCTGATACATGTTTCTCAACCAAAATTTCACGTAAAACACAATGCGCAGAAGGAATATTACAAAAATCAACTCCTTACAAAGCTATTTAATGATCCTTGATGCGTGAATTTAAACCACCCGGTCATGAAAACTCAATGCTCTACGTGATTCACATCGCGCGCTAAACGTTATCATGACAGTCTCTGCGATATGAAAATCTGGCAACCTCAATCTTGACGCTTTGGCTCAGCTATAGCAAATTCCTTATAGTTTTAACAACACATGGTGGGAAATGTATATTACTCGATTAAGAGGCTTGATGAAACCGTTGTAGTGCGCGATTTGACTCACGTAGAGCTTTGAGTTTCTTGTGAGCGGGCAGTGCAAATTCCTCGTAACCAATGTGAAATAAAAACGTTGATATCTTTGTTAGGAGTTGGTTTCAGTAATATTCGTTGAGCGAATCGCGTTCTACGTGAAATTCTGGTTAAGAAACATGCATCGGATTGCTTGAATTTGGCATCGGATTGCTTGAATTTGTACCTTGCCCAGTGGTCCATTGAATTTGTGACAAAGTAAACATCAAAATTTGAAATTTTAGCCAATTTCATGTCCGACCTCTTCTATTATCTCGTTCCATTGTGCGGCGCGGCAGCTTCGGGAGAGAGACCCTCTCCCTCTCGTCCCCTTCATCAGGATTTTCTCAGATTTTCTGGAGTTGCAATAACGCGGTTGTTCCTGAAACTTAATGGAACTGTCTGAAACTATCTCAAAGTGACGCGCGATTGTGAAAGAAGGTCATTCCTAAGTTCTTTCCGTATTTTCTTTTAACATTTCACGACTGAAGCGCTCTCACTGCAGTAGTTTTCTGATATACTTTATCCAAACAAGGCGGAGAAGTGGTGCTGGGTCCAGGTCCACACCATTTCGCGGGGAAAACAAAGCCAAAAAGTTCCAAAAATTATAATTAGAGTCAAAAATAAAGTAATAATTTTTGGAACTTTTTGGCTTTGTTTTCCCCGCGAAATGGTGTGGGACTCAGCACCATTTCTCCACCTTATTACGTACAGTTCGGGCCACTTCTTAGTATTTTTTTCTTTCACTTTATCCAAACATCTCTATCTTTCTAAAAAGGCACTTTTCAGAACCGGTTGGCTACGGAGCTGATTGAACTTATTTAGGATAGGAGATATTGGGGTCTAGCTTGAGGAAAATCATTTCATTTGACTCAAAACGACCATGGCAATTTCGAGGGATCGTATTTTTTCCAGTGTGGATCCGGTTTTGACTAAATTTTAAAAAATGTATCCACTTCAACCATTCATATGTCTGCATTTATGCTCCCATCTATCGCCCCTGACCAAATTTTTGGTTACACCTCTTTATATACCATGGCCTTGTCTGAGGGGGTAGAATTTCCGGGAATAAACTCAGATTTCCTCATTATGACACTCATACGTCAAGGGATCAAAATATAATATCGCAACGCGAAATTATTGTGAAAACCTAGTGAGAAAACTTAGTTATCCTTCAGTTCAATGGTTATGCAATTTTAGCCACCCAGAAGTCGAAATAGTTGTATCACGAGGTTAGGTAACTCACCGCTCTATTTAACCTCACAGACTTGAAGTTGTAGTTCAAAAGATGAATACCGCAATGCGCGCGAGACAAGGACAGTTGCAATCAATCAAGAAGAACTTACTTGGGATAAGAGATATTGGGGTCTGGCTTGAGGAAACATCGCTGACGAAGTATTCCTCCCCACAGTTGGACGCCGATAATACCAAATATAAAAAATACAAAAAAGCAGAGGATAAGAACGTTCCCAAGCATCGGCAATGTGTCTAGAAGTAGCATGACCAAGATTCGCATACCTGACAAACAAATAAAACAACGCATGAAACTAAACATTTATAGATTACATGTGGATTCATCTCTATTTTCATTGATGATAGATTTTATCGGACGATGCATAAACAAAGTGTCGGGGTGGAACTATAAGCGCAAAGGGGTCATCCAAGTATTACGTAGCGCACTTACGGGGGGAGGGGGGTTTTCAGTCGTCGTTGACTGTCGTAGTACATAATTTCCATCATTTTCCCGCCATTTCGGCGCGTGTGAAATTCCCTTGAATTTTTGAGCGTTTTATAAGCGGGCTTGTCCAGGATTTTGGCACCAAAAATACACAGTAAATCACGACATCATCTACTCTCCTAGTACTCTCAGAATACTAAATAACAAACACTAAGTTTAGTGACCCATCGAAGGAGCTCCGTTACTTACGATCCTCGCAGTGTCGCAGCAATGCCCGCAGTCGTGCGTCGCGGCGCGGCGGGAATGAAGTGACAGACACCTGGAGTGGCAAAACGCCTTCAAATCCGTGTGTATACAACGCGGACATCCGTAGAGCTCGAATAGTTGTATCCAGGCGCTATAATGAATTTCGTTCAGTGTTCATTGCACGCGATACTAACAGAGGGCATTTTACTTCTTGCTCTCACGACTTGACTTAATTTCACCATTACCTGTTGTGGTAATGAAGTAATTATTGATGATTTGTATAGTGACATCGTTAATTTTTATCGCTGTTTTCCAGAGTAGAGTTATTAAAAGGAGAAAATTAAGAACTCACTTGGTATCCTGTTGATAGCTCGGAGTGGCCGAAGCACCCGAATGGTACGAATCGCTGTTAGGTTCACGTTCTCGATGTTGAGACAGTACTCGAGTGCCCTAAAACACAAACCACCAGATGAGATGGAGAACCTCTTAAAAATAAACGAGACAATTTGCGTAGATCCTTTTCAATGAATACGCTAATCCGTTGAAATGTAAGGATGTTTTTTGATAAAGTTTTCTAATGCTTACGAAATCTTTTGAAGTGTCATAGGAAATCTAACGGTTTATTAGAAAAAATTGCTAATTGCAAAGGAATTATACCTGAGATGGTTCGATACGATTTCTTAGCGTTGAACTTTCGCCGATTTTACATGCAGTGCCCAGCGAGACAAGCTTTCTTTTCAGAGCCCTCTCTCCTGAAGTCTGATTTCTAATTTATAAGTAGTTCTGGGACTTCCTTCCCCCTCCCCCCCCCAAAAAAAATTGTCCTCCGAGTGACTCTGGAAATGCCACGAACGCAATTGTGACGGACATCAACAATTTAATAAATTTTCTCTATTGTCTATTTTTATGGCAAATTAAGAAAAAATATGTTTGTTTTTTGATAAGTGTAAGGGGGTTGTTTGCTTTTGTGAGCTAATTACTTACGCCAATAAGATCAATTCGGTCGAAATTCCTGCGCTAAGCCCTGATTTAGGATAAAATATTTTGGAGATGATCGTTTTTGTGCTCCTAGCAAGCAATGTGAAGGTCAAAAAGAAATTTAGTCTCCCCTCCCCCCCATACACATGAATTATGAACATAGTTATTGACAAATTGCTGTCGGAAGTGCCCATATAACATACATTTCCCGCTTCAAAGCACTTCTCTTCAGTGAAACCACGAATTTTCTCCCCCAATACTCCCTTAATACTAAATATTGCTTTTCTGCGTATTTGTTAAGTTTCTTAAACAAATGGATCAAATTTGTATAGTGCTGGTCCCAATCGTGTTTCTGACATTTTTAAGGAAAGCGATTGGCTTGAATACTATTTTGCCCCAAAAATTCATCAGTACACCTTGACTACTCCGCTTACTGTAATATCATGCTCAGCGAGTGCACCATGCTTAAGAGTGTCGACTTACCCAGCAAGGATTATAAAAAAGTCAAGCCGATTCCAAGAATCAGCTAAGTAGGTGCCTTTGCCATAAACACCCATGGCAATCATCTTGATGGCCATTTCTAGTGCGAAGAAAGCGAAAATGAAGTCATCAAATAGCTGAAATCATGTAAAGAAAGCAGAAAGCAATGATATCGAACGTGAATAGTTAAAATTGAATGAAAAAGAATATAGAGATGAAAGCAAGGTTTGTTATATGTTTCATAATGTTTGTTGAACAAACCTTATTCTAGATACAAGGTAAATTTTAAACATCGTTATATATCTAATTAGATAAGAGAGTTAGGAAGTTTATAATTGAGATATGAGTCCAATAGCTAAAGCTTAGCTTACACATCTCAGAAGTAGCATTGAAACTACATACATTATTATATGATAATAATCCTCTCATCAGTCATTCTGAATATATCCTTCTATCTCTCTACTTACTAATATTTGTTAAATTTTTATCTTATGATCATTTATTTAAATATATTTAAGTGTAGGTTTGTACTCTGTCTAAAGTTTTGTAGGATACAGGACGTCAGGAATAAATTTACTCTCAAAGCAAGAGTTGTATGAATTGCAACACTCTGCAATTAAACTGTCCAACAATTCCTATTCATAACATGCCATGCAAAGTGCATAGGTCGACTGGCAAAATGTATCACTTAAGTTAAACGAGGTATTATTGAATTTACCACTGAGTGGTGTGGCGCACTTCGATATATATCGATATTTCCCCATTTGAAGCTATGGTGAAGAATCGATTATTAAGGTGTTCGTTGTGAACACCCTGATAATCGATCCTTTCCCACAGGTTCAAATGGCAGATCAATCGATAGATCGCAAAGCACGCCACGCCACTGATGCCACTCGAGAAAAATCCCTCTTGAATCAGGCAGAATATATGCTTATCTTACTTTAGTTTTGCCAAAATGGGAACCTAGCATCCCCTACCCCTTCCACTGAATGATCCAAGGGGGCTAGAATGTAGCCCCGGCATCTAGTAAATTTAGCACGACATCTGAGTAAAGTTTTGGTCCCAAAATATGGGAGAAGACCGGGGGCAAAATTTGCATTTTGGGAACAGTCTCATTCTGCTATGATAGTGCGAACTTTATCAAGTCGAAATCCATTTCCCTATGATGCCATTTCTTCATCTTGAAAGCCACGTTGTATGGGTTGTCCGTCACCTTTGATTTAAGAAAATTTTAATAAGAAATTGAAACGAAAAGATTAAAAAATCAAAATTAGTGAAATACGAACCTGCAATATTTGACAGCGGTTTGTGACGCACTCGTCGTCTACGCAGGGTTGATACATGCCCAACGTCACGCAGTTGAGGAGAATGACCAGCATGCTCACGCGCTCAAACCACGTGGAGAAAGTGAATTAAGGAAAAATTGGCGAAGTCAATTTTGAAAACGGAAAATATTAACAAAACTTTTAATGCGTAAAATTTTAATAACTTCTTAAATAATCCAAAATACAGTCTTGAATGGTTTCATTTCGTTCTTGCTAGTGATCAGCATGTTTTAAATTAAAACGTTTCTTTAAAGTATTTTCTTCAATTAACATTTTCCTATTGAGACATGATATCTTTAGAGATATTAGAATGTCTGGGTGACATTACCAAAAATAGACCTCGAATACAAGTTTCACGCAGTACTTAATTATGCTGCTGTCTGCATACCTAGGGGTCGGCGGTCGGCCGCTCATAAAATACGTGACGATAAATTCCGGATTTTTACCCGCCCCCCCACCTTGTAACGATTTTGTATGGCATGACGCTCTCCCTGACCACCCTCCTCACCACCCTAGAGCATTACGTTCCCTACTATTCTAAATACAATGGGTTTCGATAATCTGTTAGGAACTCTTCGTGTAGTTATCAGCATTTTCCTCATGAGCAGTTCTTTTGCATCTACTCAACATTGCCGAAAGGATTCCAATTCATAAATATAAAGAATCAAAATCAGTAATGGATAGTCACAGCTCCATCTCTATCATACCCTCTGTTTCTAGGTGTTTTAAAAAGTCATGTAGAGCACCCACTAATTGTAAGTCGCATTGAATTAAACGGTATTTTTCACAAATCGCCCCCCTAATAAAAATTGTCGATAGGAGCTGTGTTTCAAAATACCATTGGCACTCTTATAGCCGGCCAAAGAAGGCTACAGAAAATCATATAGCTGGCTGTAGAATGCGGAGAAAATCATACGGCCGCGGGCTATACGAAGCGATAACAAATTATGAAGCCGGGCTATAGTTCCTATCGCCGGGCTTTACACTTTCTCGCCTGGCTGTTGCTTTTTCGCCATCGATTATAAAAGGCTCTAAGAAATTGTGTAGAGATTCGTGTGCTTTGGAAATCATTAAGTTTGATACGGAACAACCTTAATATTTACAAAACACACATTATATTTTCCTATAATACATTTTTTTTCATCAATTAAAATGAGAATAATCCATACAGGATGTGCAAACATTTCAAAATCATGAGTTGAATAACGCTTACTCCACCAGATTAAATATTAGAGCCTAACACAAAGCGGAGCGGCGACGCACTGGCGCCTACAAACCTAACAGGGATACTACACACATTGCGCAACGCGTGAAGTATCCCTGTTAGGTTTGTAGGCGCCGATGCGCGCGTCGCGCTGGCTGCCCGCCTTCCGCGCCGCAGCGTGCCACGGCGCTTGAAGTAACTATTTCACCCCAGAAGTATTGCCCAGTATCATACGAAACTGAAGGCGCTCGAATATATGAGGAATGGCAGGCATCCATCAAAAGTACGGAGCTTTCCTTGCAAAATAAATCAAGATACTGTGGCCCAAAAAGAGAGCAGTAGTCAAAAAACTCACTTAGTCCTAGCATCCATAATTAGTAACGTTTAGCATACACTTTATCGCCTGGCTGTTGCTTAGTCGCCATCGGCTATAAAAGGCTATAAGGAATTGTGTAGCCGGCTATGAAAGCTAAAGGAAATCTAACAGCCGGCTGTAGGTCTATGGTATTTTGGAACACAGATTCTACTGCCAATTTTTACCAGGGCCAGATTGTAACAATCCTGACAAATCTTTTGTCAGCTAGTTGTTAGATTTCTTAAGGCATTTGAACTCGTTAATCATAAATTGTTACTGAAAAAGTTACTGTATTAAGGCGTCACCGTGTTGCAACCTTATTTGCGATGCCAAAAGCATCTCATAGCAAATAAATCAAGGAGATGATACAGTGTTGTCAAATTTACTGGAATCTATTCAAGAGATACCACAAGAATCCCTCCTTGGTTCTCCCGTATCTTCAGATAGAATGCGGTATCTCAGAGTATTATTCATAAAGTAGTTGAATTTGAGAATTTAAGTTCCNCGCCTTCCGCGTCGCAGCGAAGTAACTATTTCACACCAGAGGTATTGCACAGTATCACACGAAACTGAAGGCGCTCTAATATATTACGAATGGCAAGCATCCATCAAAAATACGGAGCTTTCCTCGCAAAATAAATCAAGATACTACGGCCCAAAAAGAGAGCAGTAGTCCAAGAACTCACTTAGTCCTAGCATCCGTAAATAGTAACATTTAGCATACACTTTATGGCCTGGCGGTTGCTTAATCGCCATCGGCTATAAAAGGCTATAAGGAATTGTGTAGCCGGCTATGAAAGCTAAAGGAAATCTAACAGCCGGCTGTAGGTCTATGGTATTTTGGAACACAGATTCTACTGCCAATTTTTACCAGGGCCAGATTGTAACAATCCTGACAAATCTTTTGTCAGCTAGTTGTTAGATTTCTTAAGGCATTTGAACTCGTTAATCATGAATTGTTACTGAAAAAGTTACTGTATTAAGGCGTCACCGTGTTGCAATCTTATTTGCGATGCCAAAAGCATCTCATAGCAAATAAATCAAGGAGATGATACAGTGTTGTCAAATTTACTGGAATCTATTCAAGAGATACCACAAGAATCCCTCCTTGGTTCTCCCGTATCTTCAGATAGAATGCGGTATCTCAGAGTATTATTCATAAAGTAGTTGAATTTGAGAATTTAAGTTCCTTATAAAAGAATTAATTCTCTTTTAAGGGCTAGGTGTTCGATCTTGGGAGTCAATTTGGCATCTCTTGCAAACAAATTCCAACGGTAATACAATGAAAATTTTTACCATATGTATTAGAGCTAAGTTTGGAATCATGCAATACGATATTGGGTCGATTTACATAACCTTTATCCTAGGGCTATGAATTCTTAGTTGGAATCACTCGCAGAAACGAGCCCGAGAAACAAGGAACATGCAACCTGAAACAAATAAAACACAAATCAAAGGATAAAATTTGATGAAAGAAATGATAATGAAGAATTTGCAGTGAAATTAAATGAATTTCATGTTTAAGTGCAAACCACCAAGTGAACAGAACACGAGTATACCCTTGATTTACAAATTGAACAACAATTGGATGAGATATGACATAATGACCCAATCTGCTAAAATACTTGCGTTTATTAAATTGGAAATTCCGCGAGATGACATCACTAGGCGGCGCATTTTCTCACTTTTAAGTGTATTCTCATACCCTTTCCCATATCAGAACAAATATATAAAAAATACTGCGAAATTCGCTCTTTTAGCACTTTCAGGTGAAGCGATAACAAATGTGCTCGCAAATTCTCTATTGGAAGAATATGAAAACTTGGAAAGTTGACGTACGTACTTTGACAAGAAAAAATGAGTAATTTAAGGTAAACATTGCTGATAATGGCTGAAAATAGCCGAAAATAGGGATATTAAGTCCAGTAGCAACAAGTGGCCGACGACGCCATCTTGACGGGAGCCGGGGTGGAAGGAGGGGGCATGTGTGCTGCTAGGGGATTCTCGGAGGGAGGGGGGGGGATGGTGCCCTCATGAGGCTGGTAGTCCTCCCCAATGAAAGTTGTGATCGCGCATGTTGCCACTCACTACCAAAAGATCCCCGTTTAGATTAAATGTACCCCCCTCCCAGCAATTAAAATTTGTCTGAATACGCCTATGAAGAGAGAGAGGAGGAGGCTGAGCTGTGTCTGACTTTTCGGGCAAACAAACGATGTATTTCTCACGCTTGGTCACTCAGAGCTAGGACGAGGAGCTGGTTTTTCAAATTCAGCTCATTTGTTTAGAAGAGGGGAGGGGAGGGTTGGGGGTTGAAGCTGTGGCCGTTCATTAGCAGCCACTACCACTGGCAGACATCATTAATCTCTTTCTGGTGCCCATCACTTAGGTCGCGCTTTTGACAACTGCACTGTGATAAATGTTCCCGACGCTGGGTTCAGTGGTGCCGGGTGGTATCGGAACTAAACTTGGACCTGAAAGCTTGAGCTAGTGTTTAATCCCTCAATTGACTTTTCGAAAGAAAGTGGAAGTTTTTGATCACAGCTTTGAGCGCCCCGCGAGTGCAAAATTGCTGCTAAAAAAAGGAATAAAAAATAGGAGGAATCGATTTCCTCTCCGAAACATCTTATGTTTCGATAACACGAGACGTTTGAAGATGGCGCACATCCTATATAAAGTAATGAGCAACACATGCTCATATTTGTGGTAAATGTAACTTGAATATTTTCTTTCCAACTATCTATTTGGACAAGATTTGCCATGATCGGAGTATTTCCCGCCCTTAGGCCGTCGAAGCTACCTATGCTGTCCCTTCGCCTTCCCGTCCTAAGGGGGCAGGGGAGGGGGGATCAAATACCATTGATTTCCGAATTTCGACATTGTACAGGGGAAAATGTTGCGTCTTGATATCCCACTAATATGTGCAAAAGCGCATTTTTTATTTTTTTTTATTTTATTTTTTATTTATTTTTAAGCGGGAGTCGTAGGCCACCACCAAGCCTACAGTTTCTACATCGTTGTTGAAAATACACAAGTTTTAAGTAGTGAACAGAATTTCAACAAGACCTGTGTTGGTTTAACTTTTATTGATAAAAAGTTAAGAAGGAAGTTGTGGGAGAGAAGCCAGGTAATGGGTCAGTTGCGCTGGTTGCAGAATCGTGAATTAATGCTTGATTCATGTAGATCAGCAAAAAAATGACAGGATCCGACCAAACAGCTACTTTCTACGTTGAATATATGGTCCGGAGTTATCATGCTTTGAAAAAGTCGATTTATGACGTCATCCACCGGGGTAGTGACACCCTTGGTTTCCTCCACCATGCTTTCATCAGTCAGGGAGATACAAATTTTCAATGGTTACTCGATTTGAAACTCGGATGAAAGCAAGGTGGAAGGAACCAATTAAGGGTGCCACCACCGTGGTTGATGACGTCCATAAACCGAATTTTTCGAAACGCGATATCTCAGTTAATATTGAGCGTAGAATGTTGCTGTTTGGGCGGATCAAATAAT